TTTTATTCAAAATTTACGAAAAATTCGATTTTATAGAAAAGAGAAATTAATATAACTAGAAGAGGAAGGAGTGAGATTGTCATGATTGCTTTAAAAAAAATCTATCAAGAATTGTATTAAAAACAAAAACCATAAAATTTAATTTAAAACACATGTTACAACATTAGAAATTACAACATTGTTGTAATTTACGGTTAGTTGCAACATCATAAATATTACGATATTTCCGTAATTTATGGTTAGTTGCAACACCGTAAATTCTGGGCTTTAAAGTTGTATTATTGCAACATGCTGTTGCAATACCATAATACCGTAATTCCGAATTACGGGTACCAACTCTAGGCACTAACCTAACTCAGTGCTCATAATAACATTGCGCCTATTCTTTAGTTGCTCAGAACAAATTATTTTCCATCATAATTTCATCAAGAGCCTCTAACATCCATAACCTACATGAGATTGTATTCGTAATATATATATTAAATAAGACAAATTGGATATGCGCACTGGCGTGGATTTTTTTTACTTTTCTTAGGGACAAGAATTCAAAATTTATATCAACAAATAGAAAGTCATTGGAATCTTTCATACGAATTATTGACAAAGTCGATCAGATGGGATTTTTATAATGAGATAAACAAACAAAAAAATGTCTTGGAGTAAACTAAATTTGGAACGGGAAAATTTATTGATTTAAAATAAAAATATTTACAATAAAGGAAAAAACAAATGTAAAAAGAAAATTATTTTTGCTTTTTTTTAAAAAGGAAAATTTAATTCAGTTAATCGATGTTGTACAGTATAATCAGTTGATATCTAATGGAAAATTTCCGAAAAAGTTTTTAAAAATAAAAAAAATAAACTACAATAAAATTCATTCAAAAAAGCAATTGAAAAAAAAGAACGAAATTCTGAGGAAAAAAAAAACTAAACGCAAAAAAAAAAGCATAAAAAAAAAACTTCCCAAACGAAAAAAAAATAAGAGGTCGCAGATACTGTTCATTATTGACAGTTGCTATGGTGTGTTTGTGTGAAGTCCTGGAAAAATTAATTTCACTCGTCACGGAAAATTCATCAGTACAATTACTGTAGGTAGCATTAAAAATTGTGAATCATTTCCATAGAAGTGTTGAAATGGAAAAAATTTTTTTTGTTTGGGCTCTTTGTAATCGATTTTTTTTTCTTTTTTGCAATTATTGATATTTCATGTATCTTTCAAAAAAAATGATCTATAAGTCGGCCTTATAGTTCCCTATTTTTCAATCAATTAAAAATAAATTTTTTTCTGTCTTTATTTACAAATTAAAAACTCTCATTTTTTTTGCAGCCTTGTTCCTTAGAAGAATTCCTTTCAAAGAATTATTTCAAGATTAAAAAAAAAAAGTTTTAATTATAATGTGTTTAAACTAAAAAGTACATCAAAGGGATTCAAAAACATTTAATAAGTAATACCAGGAAAGTTTATTACGTACTTCAAGTAGAATTAGGTTATTGCTCCTGACCAACTTTATTGGACCTTGCAAAAAGTATGAAATTGCTGGAAATAAATCAAAATTTAATTATATGCCAAATATGTTCTAAGGTCAATATTTAGCAATTAACTCATTTTATTTTTAGTTTCCTATTGACAAAGGTGATGATGAACAAATAGTTTGAAAGAATTTGATTAAACCGATTAAAAAAACATGATAATTAAATGTTGATAGTAAAAACTTATTTTAAATCGCGCAAGCGTAGTAACAAAGAAATTTATAAAATAGCAATAAATCAAATCAAACCTTAAATTATATGTAAAGATTTATTATATATAATGTGACAAATAAGCCAAACTTCACTTCAAAAATGAATATTCCAAGCGTTCCTCACTGTCTATTTATTCCAATTACCATTGGGTTTTTACAAACCAATTTATATTACGAGACGTTTAATACACCTAATGAATTTCTTCCATACCAATCACAAGGTACTATCGTTAACACGCAATCAATAACATCAAATTACTCTACGCCATGTATTCAGATACCTCTCATTCACGTATCACCTGTATCCAAAATTAAATGGAATGATAATAGTATTAAATCGTTACTTACTTTTTTGAAAGAAAATAAAGAAGTACTAAAAGTTTTAGTAAAAAGGCGTGGTGGTATTAGTGATGTTATTATTAAAAAAGAGCTTTAGGAGCATGCATCAATTTTTGTATCTGATGGGGAAAATATTTATAGTCCTGAGCAATGTGAAAATAAGTGGAAGAATATTAGACGAACTTGCGTGGTGAATTTATTTGGGTTGATTGCTAGGAAAATCAGGTTCTGGGAATTTTTTAGCAAAATTGAGATTTTTATTGCATATTAGTTTTTGATGTTATTAGATTAAAATGTATTAAGCTCTTTATTTTAGTCAAAATTTCTCGGAACCTGATTTTCCTAAAAACACTCCCATTTATCTTAATAAAAAATTCTGCTAAGAAATATATTTATTTATTGTTAAATAAAAAATTGAATTTTTATTATAATTTAGCGTAATCATAATTATCCATATATGTTAATAGCCAGAGAAGTTGATCCAAGAATTTAATGGGTTGATGATTATTTATTAAACATTTAGGTATAATATTTAAATTTTTATATTTCAATTCGTAATGATAAGGTTATAATAAAATTTGATTGTAAAAATGAGTTGTTTTACACGTCTTCTATTTTTTTTTTTTTAAAAAAAAAGTCTTGTTGTTGAATATAAGAAAGAGAGGACGATTTCAAATAATACCGGTTTAGGCTGATCTCATCGTTCAATTAATTACAATATATACATGAGTATTCGTGTGTAATAAATATTGCTTTAATTAAGATTATTTTATTATTGAGAAGTTATAGCATTTTATGTAATACTTACTGTTGGAAGTTTCAAAGTAAATTCCGTATTTTTATTTATAGGTTATTTGTAAGAAAAAAATTTATATTTAATTTATTGCAAATATTTACAAAGATAACATAAACTTATTGTATGTAATTAACAAAAGAAGTATAATTATTTATCCACAACGAAAAAAGAAAAATATAGACATATGTAAATGAGTAGCAATATATGATTTAACCAATACAATGTAACTTAGTGATAGGATGTCCAGAATATGTGGTGGTAAATCTCTAAATATTTATGCAAATAAATAAAATATGCGATAATATGTGTTATAATTCTGGTAAAATTTATGTTTAAATTTTAAATTTTTGGTAAAATTATTAAATGTAAAATGATATAAAAATAATTCGCAAAAAAAAAATATTTGTTTTTAGTTATAAAATAGATTTTTTCAGAAAATCGCATTCTTCCTTCACTTAAAATATTTTTATAATTAGAAAAACTGTGCTCTATATCTATTCTGACTACTGGTAACCAAATATAAATCAATGCTATTAAACTTTTTTCTTTCCAATATTTATCTAAATTCAATTCTCCTTCTATTATTTTTTCTAATCTATTATAAATACTCCATTCATCTAATAAACCATTTATAGGATTTGAAATTCATCCAAATAGTATATATTTGCATTGAATTTACTCTTTCTATTGCCATTACTATTATCAAAAAAAGCGGCAATAATTATATATGATTGTGATCAGCCAATCATATTTATTGCACATGCATATTTTTATGTAATTTTTTATAAATTATGTATGCGCATATGTTTTCGTCACATATTCCTGAATACCCTACTTAGTGATTAAAAATAAGAGACTTTTTTCTTATTTTTTTTGAGTTCAGAGTAATCCTTTTCTAGGCTTTTTTATTTGAGCTTAGAGAATCAGAAACAATCGATTGAATTATTTTTTTCCGTGAAGGAAATGATTCGCAAACTTTTTGTAAATTTTGAAGCTGATCATCTGTATTTTCTTGATCTTCCAAATATGACTTTTGCTCAACGAATTCGAATGTATCCTTAACAATCATCTGGGAAATAACAAAAATTATTAGACCTTAACGATTGTAAACTACAAGTGCTTGTAAAAAAGTACATACCTTCATTTTCCATACCAACACAATTACAGGAAGTACCTTTGAGCTGAATTGTAGTAAGTACAGACCTCTGCCAAAAGTCTCCAAACGCTTTTTGGCTCAATATAAAACTTAAATTTTTTAAGTTTAATTAAAAAATATTTATTAATATATTTATTA